TGCATTTTTAACTTCTTTCCTGGGTGAAGGACCCTGTTCTGTGTGCGTGGCTGTGTGTGTATGGGAGGTGCATGCAGCAGCTGGATTCAAGCAGTGGATCAGAGGGGCCATGAGTCTGGATGCCAGTAACTGGAGAAACCAGTGTGTGTTTGTCTGTGTGTGTTTCCCTAGGAAAGGTATGTCCTGTGAGAGTGCATGTAGGATAAGGGGTCTGGGAGCCAGTCAGGGAGACCGCAGGTCAAGGGCTGGAAACCAGAGAGAGACCAGGGGTCTGGTGGTCAGATACTGGCATGGCCATAGGTCTGCACAAGCTCCTGGAGAGACCAGTGTGTGCATGTGTATGTGTGCATGTGTGTGTATATGTGTGTGTGTGTGTGTGTGTGTATGTCTGTGTGAGGGCCTGGCTGCAGCAAACAAACTGCAGTTGCAGACCCATCACTGCAGTCACACAGATTTCCCAGTCTCCAAATTATCAGCCAAGAATGAATCAATGGCAGAGAGGCAGAGGTCGGGCAGAGCATGGAACAGTACCATGTGTGACCTGAGGACTCACGTCCACCCGTTCCAAACCATCAGCTCAAACCACTCAGCCGAGCCAGGCAGAGGAGGCTGCAGGCAGGTGCCTTGGCAGACCTCTGTGCATGAGGTTTTCAAGGTCCCAGCTCACAAGGAGCACGTTCACAGCGTATGTCATGTTCTCCCAAGACAGAAGGAGCAAGATCCTGAAGCAGAGGTGGCCACACAAGAGCAGTCCTGTGATGGAAGACACACGTGAGAGCTCGAGTGCTTTGCAGTACTGCACGGTCTAGAGGCATCCTGTGCACAAGGGTTACCCACGAGACAGTCTCAACCTGCCTGACAGCAGGGTCATGGGAAGTCTGGAAGTGGCACAGCTGACCATGCTGTGCCCCAAGGGTGTGGGCTGCAGCAGTATTTTGGCTCCTGCCTCACAGTAGGGTGCACAGCTATGGACCAAGGCCGTCCTTTCATCTCTGGATGTAAACGGCACATCAGTCTCCTGAGTCAGAGGAAACCAGCAGGGCCAGCCCTCCTCATCCCACTGGTTGTTGCTACAAAACAGAACAGTGGGAGATGGGCCTTTAGGCTGCAACTGCTCCTTTGCCATTATACTGAAGTCGTGTATTTGCGTTTACTTGTAGCTGAGGCACTGCTGCCGAATTCTTAATGGAACAGATTCTCACAGGTCGCAACAAAGATGCAAACAGATGGCACAAGGCTTTGAGTTCAGCTGATGTGAAGAGCTGTCAGAAGGAATGGGGGGGTGGGTCCCACCACCCCAAAAGGTGGCTGTGGGCTGTGCCACACAGCCTTGCCAAAGGCATCGCACCTTCCCGCTGATGCAGCTGCAGCGCTGGGTTCCCGGGGAGCTTACTTGGAAGCCAAGCTAGGGGGATCTTTTAATGCATGAAAGGTAAGGGGCAGAAGAATCACTTTCTTTAGCAGCTGGCCTCACTCCAAAACTGCAATCTGATCCAGGACTCTGTTTCTAACTCAAGAAGGATTATAACAACTGCCCTGAATTTTGCATTAAATGGAGCGTGTTAGAAAATCCTGTACACGTCTGAGAAACCGCAAGCCTAGACACTAAAAAACCATGTCCCTTTAAACTTCACAAAAGTAAGAAAGAATATTCGGCTTTGAGCTCCCAGTTACAAGCATTCAGGGGACAATAGAGCTGTGCAAGGAACAGGCGATTTGTAATTGATTTGATTTATTAGGTTCCTTTTCTGCTCTCTGAATATCTATAAACATGCTGCAACCGTTACATGCATTTGTTTATTCAAATGCATTTGACTAACAGTATTCAGAAGCTTTGACAAGGTGGACTGATCATAAATAATCAAAATCTGAATAGTGTTGCATAGCTGTAATTTGCTAGGGAAAAAGAAATGGTTTAACAAATCAGGAAAGCACTGAAGTACTTGTAGGTAGCTGCTCTCTATGTTTATTTATCTGTGTGGCTTCAAAATTTACTCTTGCCCAATATTTATGCCAGGATAACTATTGTTTCTGTAGGCACAGCATGCAAACCTTGAAGTTAGTAAGCATGTTCACTCAAACTGAATTAATTTAAAAACTCAGCCACTGTTTACATACTTTTAATTATATACCAAGAACCAGCAGTGCAAGCAACAGAAAAAAAATTCCAAAGAGGAAAGTCAGACATGCCTTAAAAATTAAACTCCTTGTTCAAGCCCCAGCAGACAACATCAGAGCTGACCCTGAAGAATAAAGAGCAGAAAAAAGAAAACCAGAAAACAGTTCTCATTTTTCCAACTTCCCAAGTTGCATTCAGTGAACCTTCTCTGCTTTGCTCTTGCTTTGTGCAGACCACTACTGTGTTAGCAAAGCCATTTTCTTTGCCTGTAAAATGGGAATATTCCCTCTGAAGAGCACTTGAAGCATAGCAGGGGGAAATACTGCAGTGAAGAGAGGTTTCTCTGAAACTAACCATAATGGATTTCTTTTCATTCCTGCGCTAAGGGACTTGCTTCAGAGCAGAAGAGTAGCCTGGCTTCTTCAGAGATAATGTTCCCTTTTCCTTTGGCCTGGTATCAAATGGAGACTGAAAGGGAAAATATGTTTTCCTTGGGGTACCCATCTCTGGTCCTCAAGGGCTCTGCATTGCATAGGACCAGGGAGGATGAGGGATTTGTGGTCTAAGAGTTAAAGCAGGAGGAAAGAGAGATAGGACCCTTGGATTACAGTCTTTGCTCTGAGATAGAGGTAAATAGTCACTTACATTCAAATAAAAACTTCCCCCTTGAATTATTTTTTCCATTCCCTACCAATCCCAGCTTATCTCCCCAAAATGGTCTTCACTTTTAAAATCAATTTATAACCGATCAGACAGCTAAAATAGCTTCTTACAGTAGGTGTCTCTAGTCAATGACTGATTTGCATTAAGAAAGATATGACAGCCAAGTGTGAAGAGAAAAGAATGATAGTTTAATTTTAGAAAAATTCCACATTCATCTGAGAAATGATTACTAAGCACTGTGTATGTTCATACATAAATTACTTCTAAAAATGTAAAAAGATATTAAAATGCTAAATATTTTCTTGCAGCAGGAGCAGGAAAGCTCCAGATCAGACGCCGTGGCCTTTTGTGGGAAGGGACGGAGCAGACTCACACCCTGGGGAGGCACCCGGTGCTCCTGTGACACTGAGCAAGGAGGAGAGTAAACAGCTCAGGGGAATCAGAACAGAGGGATGCAGAAGGAGACAGAGGCTAAGAGAGAGGCCAAAGCCCCTCTGGGGAAGGGTGAGAAGCCTTCCCCTCATGCTCCATGTGCATGAGAGCTGGGACAACCATTCTGCCAGCACAGCAAGCTCCGCTCAGCGTTAGACAGGCCTGGGGACAGCGGTGCATGGACGTGTAATTATGGAAATAAACAGCAAGGTTCCCAACCAGGCAGGCTGGGAGCGCCAGGCAGCAACTTCTGCAGAGCCAAAGGCAGCTCCAAGGAGCGTGACACAGCCGTCAGGGGGACGTGCCAGGGAGCCAGGTGCCAGCTCCTGAAATAAGTCCTACAGCTTGTCAACAGAGCTCTGTCATCTCTATCCAGAAAAAGACTAATAGTGGGCTGACGCCTGGCACTGACAAATTACCAGGTTGCTAGAACTGGGATTTGGATTCGCTGCCTAGGTTTGTTTCAATTTTTTAAGTATATCTTTATTTTACCAGGAAAAGCTTTTTTTCTTTGTCCGCTCTTGGTCCAAGCTGGCAAAAAGCAGCCTGAGATCTCCCACAGAGGAAACCCAGACCCTGCCAGGGCCTGTGCGCAAGCATACAACACGTTCAGAGGCAGCAGAGACCTCACTGCAAGATAAATTGCAGGCTCAGAGCCTACAAGGGAAGGAAGGGAAAGAGTTGAGAGGTGAGAAAGGTATGTATGGAGGGAGAAAGACAAGAAGAAGGTCACTGCAAGACCATTAGAGTATATATTATATTTTTTACTAAATGTGTCTCATTTTTCAGTGTCAAGAAGAGAATGTGTGTGCAGTGTTTGTCCCACGCTAACACACCATGAGAGAACAGACATCAGTCACTGGCTGTGTCACGTTTTTATTAGCCAAGTTTCACAGAAGCATCTCTCCAAGTAGGGAATAAATCCATGCATCACAGCTCAGGTTTGACAGGAACATTAAAGGCAATATGTACTTTGATATATCAATCCAAATTTGTAGGCAGCAGAGGTCAGACTCGATGCAAAAAATTATTAGGATTATTTTTTTATTAAAAAGCTACGTTTGTGGCCTTCTAATGAAGACCTCACTATCTTACTAAAAGGTCTATTTCAAACATTCTAAAGTTGTGTTATCTGACATTTTAATTAGCTTCATTTCATTGCCTTGAATACATCCTGTCTTCTTTCATTATAAGTCCTAGAGCATTTGACACTAATGTATAAGATCATTTTAGAAAGACAGCAAACTTTTATTAGTGTTGACTTAATTGCTATACACTTGAACACCATTATTTGACGTATTCACTCTGCACATCACCTAACTTCCCTGAAATGTAACAGCCAACTCTTCCCTGGCTTCGTTCAGAAGAAGAAAATTACAGTGTAAGCAAATCACGTCACGTGGAGTGCCACATCTTTTGAGGACTTTTGTTCTTAGAAGACAACATAAAACCAGAACTTCTCTTTCCAGAGCAGTATATCCACAAGTACCAACAGAATGACTTCAAGTTCTCTCACAGACTTCTCAGTGGACTTCCTACCTAGGAATAAAGTAATTCTTTCCAATGCGGATTGGTCCGAAGACTGAAAGGCAATGGGAATCTTCTCAGCAGACCTGAGAGCTCCTCTTCCCTCTGAAGACAGAAGATACCTCCAGCTCCATAAACACCAACCTCTGCCCTCAAGTTCCCTCTTCTAATCTCAGTGAGAGATTGAGAAAAGCAGAACGCTTCAAAAAATGCTGCATTTTTTTCTCTTTTTTTTTTGCTTGTTTTTGTTTGTTTGTTGTTTGTTTGTTTGTTGTTTGTTTGTTTTGGCTTCACTGCTGGGATCTACCCTTTGTCATGGCAGAATATCAACCCTTGTTGCACATCACTGAATTCTCATCAAAACATCAGTCATTATTTTGTGCTGGTCTGGACCAAGCTCAGCTTGTTCAGACTAGCATGCTTCCATGATCCCAGAACAATGCAAGCACACTACTCATTCCTTTGCAAATACAACACTGCGTAAGGGATTTCTTTGTCCCATGAAAATAATTTAACTAGCCTACAAAAAAATTACACCATTGTAGTATGACACCGAACCATTTCAGCTCTTTCAAAAGCACTTTGAAACCATGCAGAACTCAAGAGTTTCCGACCCAAGAGACTAAAGAGTAGGTTTCTTTATTCTGCATTATTTCCTTTTAGAATTTTCTAAAAGATTTGTCCAAAACAGGCAAATACCAATTTTAAGCAATACATTTTAGACAGCAATTTCACACACATACAGAGTGGTCAAAACACTATATAACAGAATGATTCAGCGGTAAAAGGATTATGCTGGCTTACGCCAGAAGCTCTATGTCTAATTTAGTACTTACACATTCTGAGCAAGAAATTAAAAAAATGGCGGGAAATTAAATTTTTTCGGCAGCAGTGCCAAAGGTTCACAAATGAATTTGAGTCAATTGACTGAAATTGGAGTTGAAAAGCACCATCCCCCATCCAGAAATGACTTCAATTTTCCATCGTTCAGGGCAGAGAGAGGTTCCAGGAATTCAGCTCTCCAGATTCATGTTTGTTAAATTTGTGTTCTTAGCCACAGCGTATGGGTTTTCACCCAGGACTTCTGTGCAACAGAACACCCTCACTGCCTCCATTTCTGCTGATTGATTATTGCTGAAATTACATTCCAGTGCTTTTGAGAGCAGCTCAGCTGGCTGAAACCTAACAGGAGCCACGTGCCAGAAAATACCTCAAAGATTTTCTTTCTCTCTGGATGAAGCTAACAAAAAGAACACTTCCTTTCTTCCACAGGTAAAAGCTTCTTCGTTCACCACGTGGAAAGGAAATTTAATGATCTCTTTTCTTTTTAGATGGCTTGCTCTTTTTTCAGGGCTGCTGCAGGACTAGTTTGCTCCAGACTCCTGGCCCCCCTTTCTGCGGCAAGCTGGCAGTGCTGATTTGATGGGCTATGCCCCTGTGGGAAACAAATGGTCCCACCAGGAGCATATATGGGATGGACTCTTCCCCCCAGGAGTCTCAGAGAAGGACACTCAGGCAGGAGAACTGATCCACTTGTCTCCACGTAGGTGCTCTGCAATATTAAAGTGCTTTCACTCTTCAGTCTTTTGCTGCTGGTCAGAAAGGCCTGTGTAAAAAAATACAGAATCTGCCTTAAAGATCTGTGTGATTCATTTTTGTTCCTCATCTGAGCACACAGAAACAAGGCAAGACCAGGTCTAAACCCCACCAAAGAGTCCCCAAATGTTTCTACAGGACACACACACAGAGCAGGACTGCCTGCAGGCTCAGGGAGGACATCTCCACTGGCTACAAAGGGTAGTCCTGCAAGGACATGGAAATATAACACATTCCTTGTTCTGCTCCATGTGTTTGTAGCTGGGGACAAACAAACCACTGTCCCCAGCTACAGTGTGGTCTCTGCTCAGTGCTCAGTGGAGTCACTGCTTTAGAAGCCTCCTCCTCTCCTCCCCGGGGCAGTTCTATCACAGCCACTGTACAGGCTGAAATTCTGGTCCTGAACACTGTCTGGGGTCATCACCTTAAATGACTGTCTGGCACAGCCAAACAAACTTTCCCTTTCTAGGCACATCTGAGCAAAGCTATACACTTCTCCCATGCAAGGTGACATTCTGTTATTAACACATGACTCGGGGATCCAAAGCCCTGCAGGGCCCCACTGTGACCATGAATGGCACCCGCCTGCATGACAGCTGGGGGGAAACCAGCACTGCTCTATCATTTACCCAGCTAAAACCCAAATATTTACTCCCAAATTGAGCTGAGCTGCAGCTAGTCTGTACCAGCTGGTTATCCCATTGAGCAAAGAAAGGAGGGAAATGGATTTCTTCCTGTTTTCCTTATCGGTCAAAAGATTAAAAGCAATATAGTGGTGCTGGTCCCTAGGTATTGTCTGATTAATATCCTGCTAGCCTGCTGGCAAATTGCCAAAATCACTTCTCTTTAAATGAGAGACTGTTCCATGAGCTTAAATGGATTATATTAGCATAACACCAATAATTCAGCACTTAAAACTCAGAGAAAATATAATAAGTAAATATAGGCATGCATCGCCTACCAAGGTTCCTTCCTGCTTTCTTTACACGTAGGCAAGGAACTGCAGTGCCTCAGATATTTCATCAGTGCAGTCAGGTCAGAAGGGTTTAACTTTTACAGGAAAAGTGTTAGAAGCAAAAAGAACAGAAGCCCTAGGAAATTCCTTTCTCCCAGCAGCATCTAGAAACTTGGCCCTACCAGTATTTAATGGTGTTGTTGATCAGGTACGATGTAACACAGAGAACTCTTCTTGCCTATCTTTAGGTTTCTTGGCTACCACTAGGACTTTCCCAGCAAATGTTGTCTGCTGGCTCACAAATCACCTCCCTCTCGCCTGACTCTTCTAGCATATTTCACATTAATAACCATCCTAAATTCTCCAGCATGTCATTTCCTTTGGCCTTCTTTGTGGCAGAGGTTTGTAGCCAACTTCAGTTCAGAAACCCCCAGCACGAGACTGGAGTCATCAGCCTATGTGGTATCTGGAACTTCTTCATTTATTCAATGTTATTCACATGTTTGGTAATGCAGTTGTGGCAAGCATATCTTTTGCCTACTGTCTGTATCAACCACTCATGTCAACAGGGATTCCAGAGGAGATAACTCCTCCCTGTCACCTCGAGCAATGGTTGCTTCCCAAATAGTGCTCCCTGAGGGACTGACATGCCACAGAAGAAGATAAATGTTCTGAGGACACTCACTAAAAATACCATGTGTTAATTCCCCAATTAAAAGTCTCTGGAGGAGAATAATGAGTGATCTGCCAGCAGTTCTGTAGGTTTGCAGTTGTCTGATATCCCACATCTGGGAGCTACTGCCCTCGGGTAGCAGCTAATTGGCCCCAGTTACCACAGTGCCTTGCAGCCCTTAATGTATCATCACTCCTGCTCAGTAAAGCAAAAAAGGACTGATTTCAGCTCTACAGACTGGGAGCCGTGTTTCAGAGAAAACAGGGAACTGACTTTACAGAATTGTACTCCACGTATAAATCACAGAGCGAGGCAAAATCCAGGTCCTGACAAGTACTTTCTACCCAAGGGAGAAATTGGTCACAGAAGATGATGATTCTTTGAGTCAAATACATTTATTTACAAGGACTGCAAAAGTGCTGCTTCCCTGTCAAAATCAAACAGACAGCATTTGCTTCACCTAGCCCCTCCTGGCCATCTCTGTAACCAAAAACAGCTGTAGCAAAGCCCTTTCTTGAGCCAAGACCCAGTGACTGCTCTGTCTCCTTGGTTTTGTGTTACTTTCTGCCTCTGCCTCTGTGGTAGCCCTGCTACTTCTCTGGCAGGCACACAGGGATCATTACCTCTCTCTCCAGGGCTTGCTCTTTTATTCTCACAGGCCCACATAATTCAGCTTTTGTGGGACCTTAAGAACTTGCTCCCATGGTTTTGGAGACTTGGTACAACCAGGGAGCTCTGCTATTTGTGAGGCTTATCTTGAACAAAACATGGTTTTGAGCCCACTCACCCCCTGCAAATGCACCCAGGCTGTAACACTGCTGAGATACCTCAAGATACATTTTTTTTTTAAATGCTCCATCAGCATTGATTTCAATGGGACCTGGATGCCTAATCTGCTTATACACTTCTGAAAATCCTATTAAGTGCCTCTTTACTTCTCTAGGTGCCTAAATATACTTTTCTTAATTTGGGTCTAAGTGATTTGCATCCGTCATCAAGATTCCTGAGAGCACAGCTCGAGGGGAGAGGCCTCCCTGCAACAGCCCCTCCATGAAGTCTGTCACTTGTTCAGATACCTAAACTGGGAGCCAAGCTCTTGCAAAGATGCTGTGACAGTGTGAAATACGTCTATTAGACTGTGAACACTCTTCATGCTGTTGCACCCTTGTCTCTCCTGCACTGCCCTCTCCCCAAGGGAACCCTGACCATGGGGTTATCACCGCTTTGTCTCCCTTTACATTGCTGCCCCAGACCTATAAAATATTTGGCAGCAGGTCCCAGCTGGGGATGGTGATGCAATTCCTTGTTGAAAATGAGGAAATGTATTTAGGGAGGGGGCAGGAATGGTTTGGCTGCCAAGGGCAGCAGCAGTGTCTCACCTGCCCCCCCCCCAGATAACAAATACACTGCTTACAGAGAAGTGGGACCAGGCAGTGTATATAAACATTTACTTCTAAGGATGTCCTAGAGAATTAAATGCCTGTGGCTCAGGAATGCCTTTGCTCAGCTGTTCTTATCTTCCTCGGCTTGTTATTCCTAAAAGGCAGACACAGGCAAGAAAACTGTGAGGGGAGATAGACCTGAGAGGCTCACGAGATCTGAGGTTCAGATCTAGGGTTTGTGCCAAGCACTCCTCTACCTGGAGAAAGGGCACTAAAAAAGGGTCTGTGCCTTTAGAACTGACACTGGATGCTGCTTCCTGCAGCCAAAGGAGTAGAAGTGAGGACAAGAAGAAATGAATCTGGCCATGACTGGGGTGGTACCCACTTATGGACATTTTCTTGCAAAAGTTTGGCCCTGCTGGGATCCTCAGGAGCCCTGCTCTGGCCCCACTGCAAGCCTCCATCAGAAAGGAGAAGAGAGGAAATTAGCACCTCTAGGAATTATGGTTTAAACAGTCCTCTTAGCACCTTTAGCTGTTCTTAACATGAAAGGAAGCTTTGAAAGGGGGATTAAAGGTAGGATGGTCTGGTTTTGTTACAGAAGAACAATTATTTTAAAAGAGTGGTGAAAAATGGAAACATATTCCAAGATCTAGAGAAGTGCAGATATAGCAATGCTCTCAATCTGGTCAGCTATTTCTCCTCTTACAAGCCCTATGCTGCAGCCCAGAAAGCCTTGATAAACCAGAGCTTAAAAGTCCACTTGGCCTGTGCCACAGATTTCTTTCTGCATTAATTCTCTTTGCTCTTAATCACAGGGCAGCAGCTGAAGTGCACCAACACTCACAGCAGCCCTGTGGAGGACTCAGCAGTGCAGGGTCCAGCCTGTGAGCTTCAATCAGCAACTGCTGCACTCCCAGGTCTTTTCTTGCACAGTGTCAGCTTGGGCAAGTCTTACAATACATCTGTGCTTCAGTCCCTTGTCTGCAGTGCCACAGCAATAATGGGGGCCCTGTACAATTCTTAGGAATTGATTAGTTACCATTTGCAGCGGACACCAACTGCTGACAAATCACCTTTCTGGAAAGAGTGAATAAACGTCCATAAAAAAATCTAGCAAGTTACAGTTTGCTGATACACAACAAAGAGGCAGATCATCCAAAATCCAGGAAAAAAATTAAAAACAATAAAAAACCCTGATTTGCTCATCCTCCCATTGCATCCGTGCGATGAGGAAAGGCAGAAAGAAAGGGTTACATTTGTTCTTGGCAGAAAGCGATGAGAATATTCTTGCCCTTGGATCTGCCAAGCTTGCAAGGAAGATCCCCAAGCTGGATATCCTCAAGGAGCAAATGTTAACTAACTAACAGAGTTGGACAGACTCTCCTTCTTGGGAGAGGAGCAGGGCTTCCCTCAATGCTGCTTTGCATGAGACCTACAGCCAGGGGCCAGAACATAACCTAATTAGGCCGGAAAGGGTGATTAGCTGTTTATTTTGAGGATGTTCAAACCATGCACTCACATTATTCACTGCCCTGGGAGAAAAAGGATGCTGTTTATAGTCCCAGACCTACGGGATCAGCAGAGTTTATTTTCCCCTACAAATGAAGGCCTGTTCTACTTACATTCTTTCAGCTGAGATTGGATCTGTTTATTTTCACTCATCTGCAGGAAATGGGAATATTTCAGTCTATTATTCTGAGTCCAGGGAAGCAGTTTGTATTACTTAACCATGGGCAAAGGCAAATTAGTCACAGCCTTCACATGCTACCTCAAAAGATTTGTTTAACAGTAGTACCATTAGTGGCAAAAGGATTTACAGAAACCCACAGTGCAAATTCTGCTTCTTGAACGATTTCTGGAAGGCATGAGAAACTTTGCTGAATGTCCCAGGTGACTGGTACTCCATCATGGGAGATGGAGTTGATCAAGTTCTCCCCCTTCCCAGCAGGCACCTCCATGTATTGATGCTGAGCTGAGGGGTTTAATGTAATATTTTC